CCAATTTGTTGAAAGTTTAAAACTCAGTTCCCATAATCTTACTGGTTCGCGAAACTATTTGCGGTCTGATCATGAAACTACACTTCCACGCAAAATTTTATCAAAATCGGACCAAAATTACTCGAATTACCACGTTCACGGACACACACATAAGTATACAAACATACTAAGGCATACTAATCGTGTTTTTGATTTCTCGTCACACCGAAAATGATAAACGAAGTAAAACTACGCCACCTACGGTAATAGCTAGGGAAATGTGCTAAAATAACACACATCTACAAAGAAAGTTACTACATCTACAAAAACAGTAGCCAACTGATATCTCGAACAGTGTCGATTGTAGCGTACAAGGCGCCAGTTATAAGCTCTTGACGCAAACTAGCTGCATTGATAACTTCAGGAGACAAGTGAAGTTTTATATAACACTTAAAACAACACGGCACAAGTGCATGCCTTATGATAAGGTGAATTGTATATACCAAATAAATTTGATGTTATTAAGCAAATCATTTCAGAAATGGTTAGGTCTGGCGGTACCCGAGTTAAAGTATAAACATGTTCCATTGCCTTCTCATCTATACTGCCAAATTTAAGTCAGTTGGACGTGTTTGTCATGTCTGTTTAAGGTTGAGTCGGCTGATGTTGGATAAATAGTTCTGTTCTAGTTTATTTTAGGATAGATTTTACGACGTGTAGCTATTATATTTAAATTTGATGACATAGGGTAAGCAATCGTATTAAAAATATCATTTTATAAAAAAAATATATATTTGCAATAATTAAATAGTTTTAAACTATTGGCAAACAACTTAACACACTTAACTTAACTCATACGCAAATAAACCTGCAGCTCTCTTTTAAAAGTATAATAAATATTATAGGAGATAAAAATATTTAGTCGACTCTGGCACTCAAATGTCACCAACATGAAACACACATAACCATAGGCTTTAGACAATAATTGTATAATATCTATTGAGATGGCCGATTTACATGCACTGTCCAAAGCCAGTAAGCATAATGCTTATTGACAAATTAATTAACAATAGTTAAGTCAGCTATACTGAAATCAGTAACGCCTTTGCATTCCACAACGGCTACGTTGTAAAAATTCACTTATTGTATTCCAGACAGAAAAATACATTAACATTTCCTTCAGCGTATAAAAATATACAGACTACCATCAAACACAAATAATTGTTGATTTAATTACGCAAGTAACTGCCTGAATTTATAATGGATTTAATTTTACTCACTTTAGTTTTAAAGCGTTCCATTTTTCCGATTTTTCGGACACATTATTACTATGTAGTTTCACGTGTTACAAATTACATTGGTAAGGTTAAGTAAGCTGAAATAAACAAAACAGAATATAGTAATGCAAACAAATAATCACACCTGATTTTAATAAGGTAATAAATTAAAAGAATAGCATACAAATTATAAGTACAGCTGACGTATTTTTAACATTAGATATATGGAAAGTTATTTTTAGAAAGGAATTGCGACCTTAAAAGGCAATTTATAAAATAATGGATAGTTTTGCGCAAGGTTTCTCGTCATGACGAACATTTTAAGTAGGCTACTGTAGGCCTATTTGGTTTATGGGGGTGTGACTTTTAGTTTAAAAAAAAAATGCATGGGTACTTAGGGATTTATATATGGATTGGTGTAGATAACCACCATGTACCCAGGAACCAAATGTAAGAATAACAATTACCAATTCTAGGGGATTTTTCAACAGTTCCTAGTGAAAGTACTGTTTATTTTTAGAAAGATAGTGGGTAGTTTTAATAAAAATTGAATAAAAACTTGTTTATTCCCGTTGAAATGCAGTTAGTGTTGATAAGGTGTTGATAATGAACGGGTCAGGGCCTATCTATCTACATACAAGGCGCTAGCCATATCTGTGGTATCAATGGAACTGTAGGCTACGTCAGATCGGACCTACACATACAACTGGTGCATCATGCTGGCAGTGGCATATCAACGATCTGGTAATAAATTGATTGTCGCGTGCCGACTACCCTATTCTCACGACAATTCGCCGGAGAAAACGTGCTGGACGGAAAAAATATTTTTTTTTATTTGATGCTAGACTTCCATTTATACTAATTCTGTGACCTAATACATGATAAGAAAAAAAACATCCGCCGCAGCAAACCTGCAGACTAAGCAAATTTCCATCTACCTGGATGGAATCCCACTAAATTATTCCCTTAAAATTATCAAATTGATTTCCTATTTAAACATCATTAATTTTAATGAGTACTTAGGTTTGCTACTACAGGGAAGAAAATAGGGATTTTTATTGAAACATTTAGCTTAGTATAAAGTAACTAAGTTTTAACAATGATTTATAATAATAAACACCCATTGAATAATAAGCGTTATATGATATCAAAACGATGTTGTGCTTATAAATGGTATCAAAATGTTCCGCAAATAAACATGTGAATGTTAGTATTAGAAGAAATACATAGTACGCGAAGTACTCATTGGCCAAATCCAATTAGTAAAAAATTCCAGTATCAAACTAAATAATTAAGTGGCAAAAATGATACAAGATACACAATATTAAAACGAAGACAGTATTTTGTTATTAAAACTCTGTATAACCAAGCCTAATTTACCCTATTTTTTATTATCCTATTTACAGAACTAAAAGACCTACATATTATAACTAATAATATATAACTAATATTAGTTGCCGGGTGTACCCCCCCCCCACCTAACCTATAAACACACAAAGCTAATACCAACTAAACTATTAAAACTCTTAAATAATAACTACTGTAACCCTTAAAGGGGTTTTGCATGTGCAAAAATCAATTCAGATTCAACTGAACATCAAAAGTGCCTACTATAGATAACTCTTGTTATCATTGGCACGTTAATGAAAACCAAAGTGTTAACAAACAAGTTGACCCATCAGATAACGGGAGTGAGAAATGTGCAACAATTCACAGCCTTCTCGGCTTTGGTTTCTCGCCTCTTAACTACTTACTTGTCAATCAAAACAACGTTGTAACTATTTATGGAATCAAGATTTATCGTAGGTGTTGTTGAATAACATGTTGTGCGTGTTAAACGGCATTGGGTGATACAAGAAATCCCACCTAAATGGACCAGTGTCAAGGGTTTATTCAAAGCAAACATTGTTGAATAAATCTTTTGTAACGCAGGTTATTTTGTAATTCCTACTTTTTAATTAGGGATTTGAAAGTAATTGTTTGTGGGGATATATTTTTTATAATTTTACTTTGTTACACTGTGATTCAATGCCAGTGACATTTTACAGGTTTTTTAAGGAACGGTCGCATTATCATGTGTTTATAACGGTTTTGAATATTTGATACTGAAGTAGACATCAAGGACCAGCGTCAGGTGTTTGGGCAAAATATTGTGTGACTCCATTGACATTAAATATTGAAGAGAAAATCAACATACACATGCCAAAACAATCAGTTAGGCTAATAAGAAAACCAATTGGTATTTTAACAAACGCCGTCAGTCTTTGTAATTTTTGTAAACAAAATTGTCCCAACCTTTAATTCAGACCGTATTTGGAAAATTAGTTTTGTGATTATTTGCGTAACAGAGCAATATTTATATTAACTATATTTAATATATTATATTTGTATTTTTTAAAACTTTTAACTTTTATCTAAACTCAAATAAACATGACAAAGTTAAAAAAAATTTATTTTATAACCTCCTGTGAGTAAAATTTTGTCATTATTTTAATTGGTTGTAACTCCGTACCAGAGCTTGTTGTTTACTAACACTTTGCGATAGCCTATGTATGACTTTTGTCTCGTTCAACGACAGATGAAATACCTGTTTTGTCATTTCAAATATACCCAAGTGATAAACATGAGGATTTGGATTGAAGGACTTCAGTCAAATCATAAATTTCCTAGAATGAAAAACTATGGACCAATAAAATAATTATCTGGGCAGAAGACCAATCATTTCGACATGACAGTAATACAAATTTACAACATTTTATGTAGTATTTAAGTAGACTTGTATTCACCAAGCCAACAATTCATAGAAAGCACGCCCTGAATTAGTAATAAAGTAACTTGCCTCACCTAACAATTATTGTCAATATTGAAAATCTCAAAGTAACGTTTTTACAATACATGTGAAAATAGTACAGCAAATTATAATTGTGCGTGACAATCCTCCTAATTTAGTAAAAAACCACTATTGAAACACAGAATATTAATTAATTTAATGAAGCATATACTACTAAATTATCGGTAAACATTGTCCATTTAAAAAAGTTTTCAATAGGGGTGATATATAAATAGCTTGAGTATTTCTAATGGAAACAATAAATTTTAATGCAGGAAGTACTTCTCCGATTTTTAACATTTACTTACAACGAACATTTATTTTTAACCCAAAATAATTTTCTGAAGCCTACGTAATTTTGCTATATAATTAAGTACAGTAACAAATAATGTTGCACATAAATCGATTAATTGTTAGACATAATAAAAAGTCAGAAATGACAAATTCGGAATAAGAATCGGCCAAAGCACTTTTCTTAGATTGTTAATAATCTAAACACGGATTGTTGCAATACATTATTTTGATTTGCAGTGGTTGTCATTCTCATACAAAATGTAACTTTTCTGAAGCCTGTGTTATTTTTAAATAAGCTCTATATAATATAAACTAGTACAGTAACTAATAATTCTGCACACAAATAAATTACTAAAATCATGGTAAGTAGGAAAGAACAAACCCGGACTAAAACTCGGCCTCAGCACTTTTCTTACAGATTTTTAATAATCTAAACTCGAAACACATTGTTGTAATAAATTATTTTGACTTGTTGTTTGTGTCATTCTCACACATCTAGTACCTTCAATTAATTAATGCCACCTAAATAAAACGTTGTATCAAACTAACCACTTAGCCAAACAATTTTCAAACTTAACCTATAATAAAACGTTTTAAATAATAAAATACTGTTAATTTACCTGCAGCCTGTGTCCTCCTACCCGCCTCGTCTCCTAGAAGGGGTGAATGTTTCCTGCACGACACTCCGGCTATACAAGCCACTACGAGGGTTACAATCACGATTCTGTTCACTGACATTGTGGCACTCCACTCACATAACACTAACGCGTCTATCGCGCGACTGACACTGACTACACTACACTACTTCACTCCACTACCACTACACGCTACACGCCATGTGCGAGAGGGGGAGGGGGGGGTTAACACTAGGGGTGGACCGGGGCGCAACAGTTGTTCCTGTATGAAATCCTCTTTTCGGATCCAGTTATTGGCTGTAATCAATACAAATTATGTAGGACATATCGATGGTCATCTAAACTCAATGATATCCCCGTTGCAGCACACCTGCAAAAAAGTAAGCAATGTCAGAACCATTAACAAAATATAACAATAGTCCTCAACGCCAGTAAACAGTAATTAACTCTTATCACAACAAATACCCCCGCCGCAGCAAACCTGCCGTCTAAGCGAATTTCCATTTGGCTGAATTGATTTTCAATTGATCTATTTAAATAACATTAGGTTTAACGAGTACCTAGGTTTGCTGCTACAAGGAAACTAATAAAGTGTGTATATATAAATTTGAACGAATGGTGTTTTTGGCCTCTGGGGACATCAAAATGAAAAAGTAAATCGGTCCCGGGCCTAAGTCTTACCATGAGACCTACGGTAATAGCTACTTCCCTATAGGGAAATTCGCTAAAAGTATCTCATCGCTGCAGCAAAACTGTTTACTGAGTGAACTTTCGTCAGATTATTTGAACAAATCGTAATGAAAAAGTTGATAAAATGCTATGATACCCCCCAAATTCGGCAAACCTGCATATAAGGACAATTGGCTATTGAGACATGATCGTATAAAAAATCGACAAAATACAAAATTATACCCCGGTTTTAGCAAATCTGCACACTAAGTAAATTACCAGTAGCTTTTTTTATCAAAGTATCAATATACAACACACTTTTTTGCACCATACCTGCATATAAGGTTAATGTTTTTGGAACATAATCGTATCAATAAATAAACAATGTACTAAATTAATCCCTGTCGCAGCAAACCTGCCTATCCTGTAAATATCCCGGTTATTTTAAGTCATTAACTAAATACAACAATAATTTAAACCTGCATGATAATTTCAAGTTGGTTCTTACGATTTGCAACATAGTCATCAATAAGTCATAACAAATTCAATTTGTTGCAAACAAAACTGCACGGTAAGTGCATTTCCAGTTACTGTACTTCTAGTGTCAAATTATAAAAATATACAAAATACTTTCCGTTGCTGTGAACCTGTATGCTAAGTAAATTTTAAACTGTATTTAGACGATATCATCAAAAAATTTTCAATGGGGTTTTGTAAGTTCATACAACACGAAAAAGAAAAGATTCTCAAACAGGAAGACAACGATAATAGCTTCAGTCAATCTCTAGAAAATTATTACCATAAGAAAATTTAAAATTTTAGAAAGTTGAATCTTTAATACTGAGAAAAAATAATACATTTAGTAAATTTGTCCATGTTTTTTCTTCTTTCGGTGGGAGAATTTTTCTATTTTTTTCTGAACAATGTACTCTACTCTGTTCGGTACTTTGGTAAACCAATATAAGATTGCAGAGGACATTATAGCATCATCACTACATAAAAACGTTGTAATCCCGTACAGTGAAAGGCAATACCGACTATAGGCGACTATCCATATGCCTCAAGTGTTACTGTCGGGAACATAATTTAGATAAAACATAACTTGCGTAGGCGTAATTTAACACTACACACCCACTATTTTGATGATAATACAATTTTGTTTGTGTTATTATGTGATTATAAACAGATTCCCTAATTAACAATACACCTACTAACTCGGTGTACAGTCATGAAATTTCCCCACATTATTTTAATATGACTAAACCCAAATGTTCACATAACTAACCAAACGAACGCATGACTCTGCATCACGCCAAGAGATTTTCGACTATTTCTGCTTTGTTTACTAGAAATGGCAAATCCTGCAGAGAATGGCAAGTTAATTGGCAGGATTCCACGGCGAAACTTACAACAGGGACAGGTCACCAGGGCTTTGTCAGGTGGGGAATCCCCAAACCCGCCCTGGCGTAGGAATCTAGGACGTCGAGCTGTCTACTGCTGCAACCCCTACACGTGAACAACCCTTGCACTCGGACAGTCTAACAAGTTAATAGTATTATGTCGCAAGTCGCAAGGTAGGAGTGACTGAAGACGAGTCGGCTAGGTGTATATAGTGGGTAGGGTTGCGGCTGTTAATGATATTAGGGTACTTTCCTGTTAAAGGGAACATTCATTATTATCGATGATTTTTTCGATTCATCAATATTCTATTTTTTGATCCGATATACCGGTATTAATGAACGAGATGTCAGCTGACAACTTAGATAAGTTAATACTGTTCAGTATCAACAAACAATTTACAAATATCATATTGAAATGAAACTGTTCTAAACTAACCTTACCTAACCAACCAAACTTGCTGTAACATTTCCAAATCCCGTTTCAAATTACTTACATGCCTTTTCTGTTATCAAACGAAATTTTGAAATGGTAGCCCTACAGCAAGTTTGGTTAGTTATAGTTATGTTAGGTTAGTTTAGAACAGTTTTACTTATTTCTGGATCCACATGATATACTATTTTTGCCTAAACAAGATCAGATAAAACAGAAGGCATGGATCGTAAAGGAAAACAAAAATATCGATATATATATATATCGACAGAGATCAGATCGAATGAATGTTCCCTTTAACAGGAAAGTACCGATATGAGTATCATGTGTAGAACATTCGAAATGTGTACTGGCTGTCCCACGTAGAGGTTTATACGTTTAATTTTATATTACTACACCCCAAATGCAAATGGGCAATTGAGTACAAAATGACAGATGTTCAAAGATTCATTGCATTTGAAATGCTATTATACACCACCCGCTAGAAGACGGAAGAAAATCATAAACGTAAGCATAGGTCGAAAATCGACAGAGATCAGATCGAATGAATGTTCCCTTTAACAGGAAAGTACCGATATGAGTATCCTGTATAGAACATTCGAAATGTGTACTGGCTGTCCCACGTAGAGGTTTATACGTTTAATTTTACTAGTGTCCCTGTTGCTCGAATTCGAGCAATTTCTAAGTGAGCTATTACATGCGTTATTTTAAAACGAATTTCAACCAAGTCAGCAAATGTTTGTAGCAAACTGTTAAATTAGCAAACTTATTGATTGTTAACAATTAACATGCTCTGCTTCTCACTTTTAATTTCTGACAACAGCTGAAGTTTCATAACAATTTTTGTTTCCCACGTTAATCTTATGGAGAAACATGAAACATTAAAGGGCCCTAGGGCCTCAGTCTATTATTATTTCCCTAAAAAGAAAGTTTCCTGCACAACTTCACGTTAAGCTCTTTCCAATGACACCAAAAACATGTCAAACGGCACAGTAGTTTCGGAGGAGTAATTGTCACAAAAAACCTGCTTGCGTATTAAATAAGTACTAGTGAACCTGTGCGGCTCAATGCCCCGCAAAATTACATATGAATGTAGAAAACAAATTCATCGTGTTATATATTGGTTCAACGTAAAAAATTAAATACAGTAATAATAAATCCTTAGAAGAGAAGCAGTCCAGCCATTTCAGCAGTTCTAGCTGTATGTGTATTTTATTTAGTAAATTAATAAGTGTTCAAGTATGTTATAGAGCTGTTATTTTTAAAGATTTTTTAAAACACATTTAACAAAACTTTTTATCATATCAAACCAATAATAGGCCTGTGTAGCCTATTTTGAGGGTCATAAAAATGCTGCTTGAAGAAAACACTTAAAAATAAACACTAAAAAACAATATTTTAACCACAACAGCACTTACATGAATACTACGATTTTAGTCTTGAAGTTACCTTCAGGAAGATTACCCTCGTCAAAATTTCCCATAATGAATATGTGTAACCTATTAAAAGATGTAGCCTTACTTAAAAACAACATATAATATAGTTGTTCATGGCTGAAATCGGTCTGGGTAAGAACAGTGCTGATCTTTAATTAAAGTGCGTTACTTGGCTTGGTGCTTTCATAACTGCAAACTCAAAATTCACCCATAAAAAAGAATCAAGTTATTGGTTGTGTAACCTATTTTTGTGTAACAGGATTATTCACATGAAGTAGATGATTTGTTTGATTTTGCGATCAGCTGTTTTGTTTCAAATGAATTAATAATGTCAAAGATTTGTGATTTTAAATATAAAAATTATTATAGTAAAGTTTTCTAAATCGTGGTAACTTAATCTCAACTAAATTTACTATTCCCGGAATTAAAATAAAGTAGTAAGATCTATTATGAGTAAACTTTAAGGTATACACTCCTTGATTGAAATGTAGTATACATTAACAGTCATAATACACAGCAATTATTTTGTAGTAGACTTTGACTATGTTCAAGTAACAAACATATGTTTCTGTAAATTAAAATTATCTCCTATGTTATCCTTATGGAGAAATACGAAACTTTGAAGGGCGCCAGGGCCTCACTCTCTATTTATTTCAATACAAAGAAAGTTTCCTGCACAACTTCACGTTACGCTCTTTCCAATGACACCAAAAACATGTCAATCGGTTCAGTAGTTTCGGAGGAGTAATTGTCACAAAAAACCTGCTTGCGTATTAAATAAGTACTAGAGGTCGTCCTGTGGTCGAAACTCGACCAAAAATAATTAATGTACAGACTTCTATATTTTCTCCCCACACTGTAAATAAAACATGTGAATGGAATTTCTTCCCTTTGTTTTGATTTTCTGTTTACATTTTGTTGTTATTTCGTCACCATCATGGCAACCCATATGGTCCATGTTAATTTTTTGAAGTTTTCAAATTCGTTTTCTGTGCTTATTTGTTAGCCTATTTTAATTTATAAAGGCATTCTGCACATCTACAGAAAAATTTCTTTCCAACAGTATGCGTAGATTTTCCCTGCGATGCACACGAGCTGAGAAAAAAGGTTTTAAAGAAACATGCTTGCCTATTAATATATAGATAGATATAGATAGATATTACTAGACCCCAAATGCAAATGGGCAATTGAGTACAAAATGACAGATGTTCAAAGATTCATTGCATTTGAAATGCTACTATACACTACCTCCTCAAGGGGCGCCCACTAGAAGACGGAAGAAAATCATAAACGTAAGCATAGGTCGAAAAAATAACAACAGATTAAAGGTCTTTATTAGTAGTAGTGCAATGCCACAAACGCGAGCTCAAAAGAAGAACTAAGTAAACAATGGCAGTCGTTTAAAGTTTCAAAATTGCTGATTCAAGAAATCTTTGAACGGCTGTCATTTTTTAACTGGTTGCCCATTTCAGGTCCGATTTGCGGCATTTTTTTTAGTTGAATAAAACGATTAATTGTATGTACATATCAACCTATGCTTACCTTTAAGATTTTCAACTTACTACCTATGGACCGCCGGGGTGACATGCGATCACCATGTACACAAAACAGTAGCTTACCAGTAATGATGTGCCAAATTTGGTTTGATATCTCTTTTCGTTTTAAAGTTATATTCGTCCTAAAACTTAATAATTGTCACCCTGTATGTATTCCCTTAGGGTTGGAAATAACTGTAAAATTTGCACAGAGGCAAATAAATGTGATAAGTACAGATACACAATACAGTGGGAACGGGTAGGTGTAATACTGATAGATACTTCGGCTGGTTTAAGAGATTCAAAATATTGCCAACAAGAAGAGTAACTCAAATTAGAATTCACAGATAAATTAAAACAGTTATCAGTGGAGGTGTCGGTACGAGTAATACAAATAGATATATGCAATAGGTTACAGTTGGGGATGAAGACTAGATATTCCCAGTGGGAGGGGTAATACGGTTAATAGTGAGTAATACGGAGAAATGTATGCAGAGGGGTTGGATATGAGTAAGTAATACTGTTAAATATACACAACGTGTTTTGCATCTTAAGAGTCTTTATCAGTGGTAGCCATATTGGATTTTAGTCACATAAGAGCAATGTTAAATTTGACAGAACATACCATTATTTGAAGCAGCATGCCAGTGTTATTTATAAAGATATAGTTTTGAAAATTTATAATTAGGTTTATAACATAGAGTACTAGGGAATGAGGAAATGTTTCAAATATTTGTTTTGTATTTTCTTAATAAATTATTAAATTAAAGGCTTTTTAATGATCATTAACTTATTAAGTGGAGGAAAATTACAAAACTAAAATCCCCAATCCCTGGAGGACCATTAAAGCTTAATTTTAACTCCTCAATCATTATTTTATCCCAACAGGTTTTTTTTAGAAATTCTGTTACCAAGTTAACATTGCTCTTATGGGACTAAAATCCAATACGGCTACCACTGATGAAGACTCTTAACTTAAAAACCCCCTAAGCTCTCTAGTATTTTATAATCACATAAAACTTTGTTGTGCTAAAATTGTAGAATCATTAATGCTAGAGGCTTAACTTTCAACCGGGCAAGATGTAGGGCCAACATGCATGTTGGTTGCGTCCAACGAGGTAACAGTTTGATGAAATTATTCTGTGTTTGTACTATTCGTTTATCAGAAAAAAAATCTACAAAAAATTGAAAAATGTTCGATTCCAAATCCACCGTGATAACATAGATATAGAACAGTATGTTTAAACATGAACGATTCAACAGTTCTTAAACCACAGAGTTTTATATAAGTGGTCAATGACTAATAAATTGAACATAAGGAGTCCAAGCGTTAACATAATTATGACATTGGTTTTCGCTGGAAAATGATGTAATCCACTATAAGGAAAATGGATTCGTTTACTCAATATAACAAATTAAGTTAAGTAAAGTAATTAAATTAAGTATTTCTGAACGCCGTTTTTCTGGGGCGTATTTGTCCATATCATTTCATACATTTAGGGAAACATACTTTGGAAAAAGACATGAATATACAAACATATATGATTAATGGTTAACAAAAGACGAAGTTTATCACTAGTGTGAGCTAAACACCTGTCATTTGTATGGTTAAAATATGTGAAGTTTGGTTAGATTGATGTGAAAATCACTCCACATTATCTTGTTTGCAAAATAAAGAGTAATACTATATTACCTAAACTATGCAGTATTTACTTGTATAGGCAAAACACAATACACACATCATAAAAATAGGAATGAGCTTTAAAAATAAGTATGATATTAAAACAATAAGTTATGCTAAACAATTAATACTGAACAGTGTAAGTAAAATTTAAAATCAATGTCTCAATAAAAGTGCTATCTGTTGTACTTTAGTTCCTTTATAAGACAAATATAAAGTGCTAGATGAAGAGAATTTCCAAAAATTATAATTATGTGCCTAAAACCCCTGCGTAAATTTTTTTAAAAAAAACAAGTAATATTTAAGTTTGTAGGCTAAATGCTAGTTTATTTTGTTTTTGCAGATATAAATGAGTGTGTATTGTGGTAGAAATTAAAAACATAAGGCAATAAAAGAAATTTTCTAACAATGTGAATAGAGTAACCTGTTAATCTTTTAAAATGAAAAAAAGGTGTTATCGTCCTCAATGTTAACCCTTCTAAAGCTAATCCCTCTAACGTCTAACGTATAGGAAGTTATTTTTTAAATATTCCTTCAGTCTAACTTTGCTAGTCTACCTCTCTCTGTTAAACCGTTAAAATACACCCATTGGGCTTTAGTTTGCTAATCAAACCACCTCCTGTATAATCACCAAGATGATCCGCCAAGCTTAACTTCAATCTCCATCTGTTTAATGACCAAATGGGTTTTCAAGTTGAACTTGGCTAGTCAACCCCCTCATAGCTCATCTTTGCTAGTCAAACTATCATCTCCTCAAATACCAACCTTCTCTTCAAACACTAGAATGATTGTTCGAGCTTAACTTTGATAATCAAACCTTCTCCTCTTTAGACCTCAAAATGATCCTTCAAAGGCATGTTTGCAAGTTAAGCCTCCTTCTAGTCAAACACTAAAATGATCCTTCAAGCCCTACTTGACTAGACCGTGCACGAATCACGTACGTACTCCGGTCTCCCGTCTTGTGGCCACGCTAGTCGGTAGTAGCAAACCTGTTAATTAATTTATTAATCGTGACTTAATTACCCTAATTTGTTTGCTCGGCGGCGCGTAAGCGTTTATTTCTGTCAAGGTCGGTCACGACTCAGAAACAACTTCCTTTACTCTCAGGTATACAATATGCAGTCTGTGGAAACTGATGGGATTGACTACTAGACTGATGTAATCACTCATTATCAACTGTCTTTATTTTGGCAAGTACGATTTCAACAACTTTTGATTACCCTTTGTATTACCAGATCATGTACTGGACAATATTTTCGTGTCCTAAAATGATTTAATTCTAGGACCCCTTCTCCTTTGCCTCTGCGACGCATTGGTAAACTCCCTAGTTGTCAAATAGTTGTTCATTACCCCTATGCACAATGGCGAAGAATTGCCAGCCAATAGCATTACAACAAATGTATAAAAATGACGTGAATATCACTAAACTCTTGGTGGGAATAGTTCATCAAATAGTGGCAGAGTACCCGTTCTTCGTACGCGGTTGGTGTATAAAATGCTTATTGCAATTGTACTCGTGCTTTAGGTTTGCATAGGGGAGGATAAGATTTGAGAAAATTTGGTTCTTTATATTTACGGTATGCTTAGTATTACACGTGGGGAGCGAGCTGGTCTAGTGGTTAGAGCGCGGAACTCCGGTTCCTGGGGTCCCGGGCTCAAATCCCGCCAAATTACCAATGGATTTTATCCAAGTGATCATACTTTAACAGTAGTTCTCATTGTGTATCGCAGCTTTTTAAATTAATCCTCTTAACTGTTTTCTTGTTTACATTTTCAATCATATGCCATCTTGCGTTATTTATACAATCATGCCTAATACATTTCTGTACACATGTGCTATTTTATTTCTTTGTTTATCGAAGTTAAAGCTTTGTAAATAAAGTTGTCAAAATAAAGTGTCGTATGCTCACATATAGCCTCTACACTATGCACTAATTATACACATAAAAAGACTCTAAATTTGTAAAATGGCGTCTTCTAATGAAGTGTCCAAAGAGATGTTACAAATAACAATTAAGAAAGCTACGCCAAGTGATATAGGAAGGTTACCTGCGTTGAAGAAAAATGAGTTAATTCTTAACAGATTGAAAGCTTTGGCTGACGATGGACATAATAATAGTGACTCAAAGTCTGACGTTTCAATTATTTTGGAAGGAGAAGATTTGTCTAATAACTATGGTAAAATAGTTGTATCAAAGGCCCAGTCAAGTATAACAGAAGAAACCAATGTGTCATCAACTCCACCAAATATTAGTTTCAGTCACAACAAAGAAGAAATAGCCAGGTATATAATAGATGAAATATTTTCAAGATGTGATGTTTATAACTCAAGAAAAGAAAGTAATAACCTCAATACAAAATCAATTCGTACTTCTGGTCATTCAAAAAATTACGACAATACTTTGATAGGGAATATGGGAAAACCTAGAAAACGAAGGTTGTCTTCAGTTGTCCCCGCACTGGATCTCCCTATCTCCTTACCGGAGACTAAAACTCCCGGAGAAAGCCGTCCGCGACTAGAGAAGCCAGTTCTAGATGCACAAGTAGCAATTAGTGCAACAATTATTGGAAACCAAGGAGATAAAAATCACGAAGAATCACCGTCAGATGTAAATATCGAAACAAAAAAGGAAAAAGAACTCTCGACAGTTGATAGCCCTTTCGACTTGTGCTGGTGTTTTGGGTTTAACGAAGAAGTGCCTGTTGTCAACCTCTCAGACGACGAGTCATCCCAAGTGGTATTCGCGAACTCTACGTACGCAGTGATCTATGACTTCCATGAGAATTCTATGTTGTTCTTGCAGGGTCATATGAACACAGTGAGCTGCGTGTCTTCCAATTCTTTGGGTAAATTAGTAGTCACAGCAGACTCTGGTTGGGACATTGGAACCTCCAGAGTGATCGTGTGGGACAGACGTCCATGTGTACTGCAGGTTCTTGATAATGTCCATCCATATGGCTGCCAACACGTGGCGCTTAGTACCAAGGGTGATTTTATAGTCACCGTCTCCGCCAACGAGAACCCTGCCTGCATCAACATTTGGGAATGGATGAGAGATAGCAAAGCTCCTGCGGCTACGGTGAGCGTAAAAGAATCTTTAGGAAGTGTTAAACGTCTCACAATACGCTCTGCTTCAAATGGTGAGTTCGCCTTAACATATGATAGATGTGTTGTGTTTGTTCAGGTAATATGGCAAACGATATTTCAAGATAATTTGGAGGCAGTTAGAGTAAAAGAAAAGATAATTGACTGTGAGTCCGACATTTGTGCAGTCACTGCACCCAAGATTGGAGCTTTGACAGACACTACGTTTGTAGAAGACAACGGAACTGTCGCGTTCTCTTCTACGTGTAAAGGTTATGTGATAGTATGGGAAAATAATTTGAACCAACAAGCTACAAGAATTTATAGAAAGTATGTCCGGCTACACCTAGATTGCATATCCAGTATTCAGGTAGTTGATGAAAAAATCGCTGTCGCTACAGTTTCAGGCAATGTAAGCTTTTATGATTTTGAACTTAAAATTTTGTTCAGCCACAAACTTTTTAGTGAACGTGTGGCGTCTGTTTCCTTTAATTTAAGCCCTCAATACCTTGGCGTTACAAAGTGCCAAGAGCATATGAGTTGTGCCAATACGTGGAAAAGAGAACCGAGGGAACTTGAGGATGCGACTCTTGAGGGAGAACCTTTCTCGGTTCGTCACTTCATAGTTAGCACCGAAAGTGGAAGAATGGCGTACGTAAACGCATCATGTGGAACACCCAAATATTTGTCTTTCCCTAGTAAAGAGCAATTTACTGCTCTGGACATATCTCCAAACAGTAATTACCTGTTTGTTGGCACGGCTTCTGGTAAGTGCATATTATTTGACGTAAATCAACGTAAAGTCAAAGTCACTAAACAAATTAGTGACAACTCCCACATTCACCAAGATGTTTCATGCATAAAATACTCGCCTTCAGGGTACATCGTAGGTTGCGGAATGCGTTCAGGCAACATTTGGCTCCTGGACCCAGTCATGCTTACTCCGATATTGAACTCTCCGTTGATAGATTGCAACGGTTGTATAACACATATGGCATTTACCTCTGACTCGGAATATCTCATTGTTTCCGATGATAGTTTTTGTATTTCAGTATTTTTCATTGGCGAACAACCCTTATTAGTCAGACAATACGTTGCTCATTACAAACCGATTGTTGCATTGAACGTTGAAGCCAACGAAGGGGATAAGGAAATCAAGGTTTCAACGTTGAGCTCCGATCGCAGTATTTGTCAATTTCTGCTCGACAGAGAGAAAAGGTCCTTTGAATTTATACTTCATCAGCAAGTAGAGCAGACAGCAGTGCCGATGTATAGTGTGTATTACCCTAGTCAGTACTCCTCTGAAGGGACCTACCTCGGGGTGAACAGTAATTGTAAGTTCAAGGTCCACGACAACCCTTCCTTCAATCCTGCTAAAGGCAGATCGTACAGACGGTGCAGGGGCACGTTTCAAGCTCCTGATTTCGGTTCTCCCATAAACTACTTGGAAGTATTTGGTGATGAATCTAAACCTTATTTATTTTTCAAAACGACGAATCACATAGGACTTCACGTTTTTCCGATTGATGGAAATCCGTTCGGAGCTCTAGGCTTCAAAGCCAGTGCTACAGCCTTGACATGTTCAAAAGTATCACCAAATGGGAAATACGTGTTCACAATATCAGAGTATTGCAGTGGCATCAGTATGTGGAGAATAAACACTCGCGCGGTCGATAACTTCTACAAGAGCGGCGGGGAAGGTCTAGAGCCTTTTTTGAAAGTATTGGGCGAAGAAAAGGAACAAGAAATTCGTGAATTCTTCGATCTCGGACAATTCCTCCATCAAGGAGAACGCCCTAGTTTGGTGCGAACCCTGCAAGACTCACTTCCGATTTGTGAAATGGCTAATGTCCTCCAAGCTTTGGGATGCATGCTGACAAGGTATGACATTTACGAACTAATACATGAAGTGTTAAGTTCAGAGAACTATGAGGGTTACATCGAATATGATAGTTTTGTCAGATTGTACATAAATTATCGAAAACACAACAAACTCGACCTGAGGGATTTGCGGAAAGCATTTCGTGATTTCCACGCAGGCGTATACACAGCACCTTGCTGTATCAATGACGTTGACCCTGTGTTCGACTCCTCGTCTTTAATCGGGAAGCTCCTAGCGACTGGAGAAGAAATGACTCATGCAGAACTGTACGCAGACTTCAGCATTCTGACAGGAGGACAGCCCGATCCTCCTGAGGAAGAGTATATGATGTATCAAGCCCCACCAACTATGCCTAAAGAAATTACATTCAAAACGTTTGTAAAAGACATTTTAGGATTTCCAGTAGATGACACAATGTTTAAAGAATAAATTACAAATTTCGTAAGAAATATTGATTTTGACTATTTATACGGACAACAATTTAAAGAAGCAATTAAAATTACCTAAATAGCTTGGGCAGATATTTTTTTTAAGTAAATTAGTCTTACGAACCAACAGATGTAATTTTATACTAGTTTTCAAGAATTGTATTTAGATAGATAAATCTATTTTTTACTCCTCTGTAACGCATTACATGTAGATAAACTATAGTGTCCATCGTGTGAATGTGTCTAAATTTTACAAATGTGATGGTTTAAATACCTTCAACAACTATTATACTCAGTACATAATGTTAGAAAACAATTTCCATTTTTATTCTATATCAATATATAGATATAGATATAGGCATTGTTGTGTTAGTATAGTGAATGCTGGGTTGATGAAACATACTCTTCTATAGATTCAAAATTCATAGATTAACCTCTCCAAACAATCTTAAGGTCGGTTCTGGCTGGTTTATGGAGAAGGTGTTTTAATCTTTACTATTTGCTTCGTGTAGCTTAATAAACTTTAAACCCATTTCTACTGAATATACCAATATGTTTGTAAACTATTGTTAGTCCTCTGGTGTTATACTAAGAGTAAAGCAAAAATCGCGAAATCTATATGAAATCGGTGCCCCACCCAAAAACCACCAAAATGTAAAACACATCAGGTTTGAGATAATAGAATAAAACCAGAGCTCAACTTGAACTTTTCCAAGTCATTGCTTATCGTTGTAGGCCCCATGCCCCCCTGTATGAGCAACCAAGGGTGGTAAATGTTGAGACCTGCCCACAACGTCGACACTGCGTCGTCGTCGCCACTACAACTTGTTGACAGCTGTTATCGCCAGATCTCAGTTGATTATGGACGTGCGAACAGCTGATTGCTTGGCGGGTAACAAGCTCCTCGCTGGCGCCAAGTCGCTCCCATCCTATCAACTAACTGCCGATCTTTCCTTGACTCTTTGCTCGTCGTATAAAATGCAAATGATTAGCATATTAGTGTCGCGGCAGCATTTCCTTCAGTGGGAGTGGAATTGATATCATAATGGTGGAAGAGATCATGTTTCATGGAATCACAGAATGTTGGTGATGGAGGTCACAGTTGTTGACAACACAGTACTGTAGTTCTTGGTCGCTTACTTAGCTTTTGGTTTGAGTTGAATTGTGATATCTTGATGGTAAAGGGGATCATGTTCCACAGAAGTCGCAGATTGATTAGAACTGGGAACTTCTTACCAGTAGGCTATGTGCTCTTGGAAGATTTTATGTTCGGTAAAACTTTCCAAGGGAAATCCGCAAAGGCTAAATAAATAAACTCCTACCACAGTATCATGTGCCTTTTGAACACACCATCCTCGACCCACAGTCCCAAAACAATCGCCAACTATTATGTTGAAGGGTGACACTTTGTACAACGCTGATTGGCCGTGCATGTGACACCCGAGCTGCCCCCGCCTGCGTCTGTTGCGGTCGTCTTCTGTTTCCAAACACTCGCTGCCCGCATCCCTCGTGGCGTGCCCGCACTCGGCCCTCATTGTACAACGTGTTTCCACAAAACACGGATACCGTTTCGTCGCGCCCCGACACAAAAACCGAACCTTTAGAATCGCGCCGGTTTTCGATTTCGCAGATGACATAAGAAAGAGATTGACTGAGCAAGGTTCGGTTGGGTATCGGACGGGTATTTCACTGACGATTGTGTAATATCTCCTATCGGGCTTTGTTGGAAAACATCTCTATAGGAATGGTGTACATGAGGTAGCCCATTAAATGAAATTTTCATTCTAATTTAAACTGGATCTACTGTACTAACATCATTCCTGAGTGTACTAACATCATTACTAACGTCATTAATCTTGAAATTTGTATGACATAAACTATACGTACATTTCCGAGAAGGAAATTCCACTCATGTGAGCAAGTTGTAGCATTGATTAAACTAAACATAATCCTACAGAATCCGATCAGCTGAATACAAGTTCAACGTTAACGGAACGCTCGGCTAATTTTCTTTAAAGTAATACCTCCTACTTATTTGAACAGTAAGGCTTGAAAATAATCTTAACGGTAATATCTACTGATTACCCTAACAGTAAGACTTTAAAATCAAATAAATATTGAGATCCAATGTTTATCATATCAGTACAATCTACACATAGACCTACATAAAAGTCTGCTGACTACCTTAACTTTTAGTCGTTAGCTTAAATGTAAGATTCGCTAATTATATGCGCACAAACAAAACACCCAAATAATTATATAAATCAATCCTCAATCTGTTTCCTGAAATAAAATCTGAGTCAATCTTGTGACTGCAACGTTCATCTACCGGAGCTAATAATTGTTTGTGCTCTTTAGTCAATACGGAGAAATACTACTGACACATCCAAATCATGACCGCTTTCACGCTAAGCTCTCCGTTGGGATTTTCTATGAGGATCTTGAGGAGAAATCCGTTCTATAGCGGGATATCTGATGTGAAAGGAGGCAAACAGGGATGATTCCGAGACCTTGGTTGTTTAATCTTTTAATAACACCAGATGTACAGATGTAGGTGGGAGGTGGGAGAAATTCACTTTCAGGTTGCACAATGAATCAAAATGTAACTTGTAAGTGGGATGTTAAAGTGCTAGCCTGAAAATCAAAAGGTTGCTGGTTCGATCCTGAAAAAGTCAGTAGCTTTTTGATGGTCCGAAACTGGACCCAGCTGTTCCTGATCATTGGGCTTTAAATAATTGATCCTGACTGATTAAACAGCTGATCTTAGCAAACAAAACTACACTGATCATCTCAAGCCATTCTACACTCATCCTTCACACTTATTTGGGTTAAAATACACACCTAGGTGGCGTCCCCATTTCAAATTATAATGATATAACTCATTTTCGTGATATTTCAGAAATTGGTTGTTTTTTAAAAGCTACATGTAACAACTTATGTAGGTAAACATTTCATTGAAGGTGTTTAGAACGAACGTTTCTCAAAACAGCTGATTGGCTGATTGGTCACTTATTGGATGACTTATGTAGTAAAACTTGAGAGAAAATGCAACGAATATCGTGGCAAACTGGATTTGTGAACGTTTAACTTATTTACGTTGTTTACAAATGGGTTACACTATGTTTAAATAGCCACAGTAATCCTAAAAATTAGGCGAATACAAAGAAAACAGTTTATTCTTGGATGTTGCACTAGGTTATCGAGGTTATACAGCTTAAATTGCCATTTTCGTCCAACTGACACAATATAGACAAACATTAAAATAGAATTCAGATTATTTTAGGGCATAACACGTAAAAAACTACATGACTCTACGCAATGTATAGACAAAACTGTATTTTTTATAGTGATTGTTCTATAGAGATTGTAAACATGTCCTTTAACACAACAAGATCCTGAATCCTTTAACTTATACACGATATTACAGAAATGCTCGGTCGATGTTTATTTGTAGAAGCACAGAGCAGTAGCCATACATGAGTCAGGGCTGCAGTGATGTGGTCACTATATAAGGCAATGGACCTCACACAGTACCTCATACAAGCGCGGTCAAACAGCTGGTTAATAACAGTTTTATCCCGTTTGGGTACAAATTGTGAGTTTAACAACTATGCATTTTTTTTGCCGCTATGCGGTCTCGAGCAGACAAATCAAATGGTTCTTTTTAACGTGTAAGGTCACTTATTATCACAGCTACGAATAATTGATACGAACATAGATATATAAATATTATAATTATAGACATTGATATAAAACCCGAACGTATCCCTAGGCAATACAACATGTTCGTTACATGTCGTCAACATAATCTTATACAAAATAAATTCGATTTTCCATAAAAAATAAAGGATTAGGTTACCGATTTAGATCATTAAAATCGCAACCGACTTGAGTTAGTGGAAAGAAGTTTGGTGGCGCAATTATTGACAATGTAAACACAATGCAAAGTCTTAAACCATTAGGAGACTAACAAAATATGAAAAGAAATAGTATTGTTGGAGCATTGTTCTTTTATACAGTTTTAAGAGTGTTTGAAAAAGTAATTAAAACACTACTTAAATTGAAAATTATTAAGGAATTCGTTATTTCAATAACATATTATTATGAACATAACAATGACGTTGTTGGAAATGTAAAAAAACGTAAAAAAACTTTTATAAAAACGTGTTAATAATTTGTGACGTCAGAGTGTATAAATCTTCACTAAGTCAATACAAATAATCAAGTCTTAACTAAGCTAGTCTAAAGTCAGTTTAGCTTTAGTCTGAATTATGTTTTCTTTTAACACAATAATAAAAAGACTGTTTTAATTTTCGAGTATTAGAATCTAAAAGGTCTTGTACAATACTTGATGGAACAACGATACACACAAACAAATACACGCTTATTCTTGTAAAGATATTAACAAACTTTTGAGATTGTTTTATAACATTGAATAAATAAATAATATAAAGTTTATTTATGACTTTCTAGACCATGAAGTCACCAGGAAACGTGTTATCAAAATTCAAAGAGAGTTCTTAATGGTTATTAAATATATTGCCCTGGATGAACTTTAACTTTATAAACTATCAAGTGAAATAGCCTAATTTAATTTAATTTTATTTTCAAAAGTGACAGGTAAAATATTGGTACAGCTATCTAACATTGTACTGTGATGTGTATTTCGTCTTTTTATAAGGCCAAAATGTATTATGGTAACATGGTTTGATATTCGAAGGAGCAGTAAAGATTTATATTAAAATAGTGTAAACCGAGTGTCGATACAGATAATAATGTTAATAACCAAAGGGGCGAAGACCCAAACCCTCCAAGGGGACGCTCCTAGGTCAGAGCCCTCCGAGTTACCTGCCCGGGGTTTCCCAAGGGCCCGACAGCTTCACTCCGTTGGGAACAAAGCAAGACTGTTTCTCGGAACTTAAAGATATTCTGATTTCTTTTCACATATCTGAAGTTGGGAAACGGTCGCTGGTTTTCCCGCAAAACCAAAGCCCCAGCCCCTAGATGTTTAGACTGTTGTGAAAACAAAGACGAAATGAAATTAATTCTAAGCTTAT